GAAGATAAATGCTTTTGAACTGTGGTGTTGGAGGAAAGTTCTGAGAGTGCCTTGGACTGTCAGAAGATCCAACCAGTCCATACTTCAGGAAATAAAGCCCAACTGCTCATTGGAGGGAAGGATATTAGAGACAAAGTTGAAGTACTTTGGTCACATCATGAGGAGACAGAAAATCTTAGAGAAGACAATTATGCTGGGGAAAATGGAAGGAAAAAGGAAGAGGGGCCGACCAAGGGCAAGATGGATGGATGGCATCCTTGAAGTGACTGGCTTGACTCTGAAGGAGATGGGGGAGGTGACAGCCAACAGAGAGCTCTGGCGTGGGTTGGTCCATGAGGTCACAAAGAGTTGGAAATGACTGAATGAATGAACAACAACAAAACTGTGGAAAACAAGGAACATACACCCACATGTGATGGGAATGCGAAAAAAAACAAAAGTTCCACGAAATAATTAGGAAGGAAATGGAGGAGCTATTAGGGATAAACATAGAATGGAACAAGACTCAATTTTTCACTCAGAAATTGGAAAGTAAAGGGGAATTTAAAGAACGGGAGGAAATAATAAAACACATGATGGATGCAATTAAAGCCTCAGTGTCTCTAGGCTGGAAGGACCACAAGAAATGGGATATAAAAACTTGGTATAAATATCTAGTCAACTACCTACTCCAAGACTACATCAGAGAAAGGAAAAGTTACTTTAGAATGGGCCAGATCAGAAGGACATGGGAGACAAAATGGAAGGGTCTCATTTATAGAATAAAGGGGAAAGATAAATATACGGAGTTAAATAAGACTATCCTCATGATTGAACAATTTTAATAAGCACAGCAAAAATAGTTAACTGTTCCTGGGGGGGGGGGGTGGGATTGGGAAAAATATTGGTATTTTGATTGCTAATTTTGAAGATTGTATGTTTCTATGTATTATACAGTATTTTTTTTAAAAAAAACCTTAACCACCTATGTGGACAATTTGGGTTTTTGAAGTATTTCAGCTTTCAGAATTTTGGTTAAGAGAAGTTCAAAATGTATAATATAAATTTGATGGGAGTGAGCTAACTGTATCTTTTAAATAAAATGGCTAAAGTGACACTGGTTCATATGACAACTGATAATGTGTTTCAAACCCCCAACAATAAATCTGAGATTATCTTTGCCCTTAAGAGGACCTTCTGATGATTTTAGATAAATTGACAAGTTAAAAGATGTTAGCGTTTGCTATCATTTTAATTAAGATTAAACCTAGGAACTGTAGACCTACTATGTATGTCTTAGCATCTTGTTCTAAAGAAAATATATTGCTCATATATTTTCTATGGACTAGTTTTCAGTACTTCTCCTGTTACAATGAGGGCTCTGATTTGGGTGGTCTTCAAGAGGAAGGCGTTCGGCAGTATACCCCTAAATATAATAATGTTTCTTTTTTTTTCAATGATTCAGTATTAAATTATAATTTCTCCCATTGTTTCATGGAGTGATACAAACCGCATTATCTGATGGTGTGAAACATGTTACGTGACTTAATAGGACCAAATACATAATGCCCTTTCACACCACAGAACTAAGGTTCTTTGATTTCACTTAAATTGGTCGTGTGTTTTTTTTTGTCGTGTCTGGAGCAACCTGAGAAACTGCAAGTTGCTTCTGGTGTGAGAGAATTGGCCGCCTGCAAGGATGTTGCCCAGGGGACGCTCGGATTTAACCCACTGCGCCACAAGAGGCTCCTACTTAAATTGGTATTATTCCGTCCTATGGAGAAATGGCAATTAAAGTGGGATCAACATGCTATGATTGTGGGTTTAACAGTCAACTAACAAATACTTTCCTGGACAAATTTAGTATGAAATGTCCTGGGGTCCAGCAACCTCATGTATAACTCACTGCTGAAGCACTTTTGGATTTACCGTACACCTGAAAATACTTTGAACAGAATTTGAAGCCTTTGCAGCTGACTAAAAATTGGAGTTTCCTGTTCATTGAAAACTATTGCTTGCAAATGAGTTGAACACTGGCCTGGAATTAATGAAGTGCTTTCATTCATGGTTGGGGAGTCTGCAAGTTGTGTTTTGAACCTCGTGCGATAATACCCTTAGTGATGTCTGCAATCTAATAGAAACCAATTCCATTAGATCTGCAATCATATTTGTTTTACTATTTTTAAAGTTTTGCTTTGGCTTTTTATTTATTTAAGGAATGTGTTTAAAAATTATAATACTTCACCCTCTTTCTTTTACAAAAGGCTCACATTATAATTAATAATGAACATGGGAACAAAACATGGGAACAAAACCTCACAGCTAAGCAACTGACTTCTTGTTGCATATTCATATTATTCCCTTTATAGCATTGTAGTCTATTAGTATTTTTATAACTGGTCTTGTTTCAAGAGAATACATTGTTTTCACCTTTCATTTTGTTATGGGAACTTTAAACTATAGCTCATAAAAATAAACAAACCACTAAGCCCCAAACGATATACAAATAAAAGCCTTCCTGAAAATTGGGAAAGCTCATCAAAACAATAATAGGCCCACTAGGGTTTTGTGCATTTCTCCCTGATATTCCACATTATGAAGTATTGTGCAGGGATATTCTGTGACAAAAGCCATGTGTGAGATTTTGCACATGCAAAAATCTTTTCCATGTGCAAATCTTGAAGGGGGGGGGGGGTGTAACAAAAATGGGCTTTCTGCATAGAAGCCACTCTTTCCCGTGCAGAAAAATCAGGTTCCTGTGAAGAAAAGAAAAAAGAAGATGCATGTTTTCCCACTAGCCCACTTTTGTCTCTTTTTGTGACATTTTAATACATAGAGAATACTTTCAGAGGTGAATTCATTTCCTCCTGTCATAGCAAGAAAACTACAGTAATCACACATGAAGACAATTTATATTCCTATTGCATGAACATGTAGTTCATTTTCCTCCTTCCTTCGTTCTCTTACTCTTTGTGAGACATTTCTCCACTTTGGCGTGCAAATGTGAGACCAAGGACTCTCATCACATTCATATTTGTAAACCACTCAGAGAGAGTCCTTTCTAAAAAAATAAAGCAAGATTGATAAATGCTTTAAGTAAACAAATAAATACAACTGAATAGGCCTTTCCTAAGATGAAGTGCTAACACTATGCTTTCATGCTTGTGACAACAGCAGCAGAAGCAGCATTTTCTTCTCAATGGAGAAATATTAGTATCATGGAACCCCACAGATCACTGTAACAAAAGAGTACAATTCTATAGCAACAGAATCTTTAGCCACTTTGTAATATATGCTTCAATCATGACAGATGTTTTTCAGTACCGAACCAATGCACTAAAGCTTGATGCTCTCTGTATTCCATTTTGCCACTTAATTTTATATCCTAATTAGACAATACATCATCCCTTAATGTAACCACATCTGAACAGAAGACACAGATAACCAGAATTTATTGCAGAAACGTTGAGAAGGTCTCTTTTTAATTCTTGAAAGCAACTTAACTTTTCTCCATGGAAACGTATTTATACTTCTTAATATAGAAAAAATAATTTCACAAACACAAATAGTTGATGATTTGCAGAGTGAAGCCAAACAGCCAATTAAGTTGGTTATCTGTCACAAATTACTAGAGACAGCAATGGTTTGGAACTAAGTATTCCCCACTCAAAAAGAAGCTGCTTCTGCTAGTGTACAAGATGTTTTGCCACTTCCCTTCCCTTCAGCCACAGCTTCTCATACCCATCATTGCAGTCTTCATCATTGTAGAGTAACTTTTGGAGGGATATGAAGGTGGAATGCAATGGATGGAGAATGTATGTATCAACAACAACAAAGAAGTTTAGTTGGCAAGAAGAAATCACTGGCATCATGGTATGATACTAGGGGGGGAGGTTTCTTCCTTCCTTCCTTTCTACATGGACATACAGCCCGGAAAACTCACAGCAACCAGTGATTCCAGCCATGAAAGCCTTTGACAATACATTTTTCTTCTTTTACCTCAATCAAAATTATAAAAGTTGATTATGCGATGTGGGGTACTGCAGCTAGTATAATCTATTTTCACATTTGCCCAGTGGATGGTCACACTGATGCCATCAGTAGCTTGATATTGGCACAGGGCCTCCATTCACTTCACACCTCTGTGCTTGTATATTAGCATATGTAGCACCCCACACTTACCCCTGCCTTCTAGTGCCTAAAAAGTAATGACAACCAACGTTTGACCATAGCTTTTTGAAACTTCCATGTGGTTTGTATTTGCAGGTGTAATTTCTGTAGAACAGTATATAGAACACATAGGCTTGAAAAAATTACTTTTGGGGAAAGAAAAGAATTTACCAGAGTCTAGTTAACAGCCCTCTATAAAAACAACTTTTCGATATGTTGGCTAGGATTCCCTCAGAACATCAGTTTCTGTTTGTGGAACTATTTTTCATGCTCCTCATTCAGTTGCATAAGTTAACTCAAGAAGACATGTATAGATTTTTATTAACTCCAAGTAAGTACATAGCAGTCAGTGAAGGTACAGCAAATCTTAGTTAGCATCTATCTTGTGCAGTAGTCATAACTAAGGACATTAACTTTTGAAAAGAAATGCTTTTCTTGATACCATCCATTAAGAGAAAAATGTGCTTCGTTCAGATATGAATATATATTTTGCTGAGTGTTTTTGTCACTAGAAGGTATCTCTGTGTGTAAATCATGGCATAAATCTTGCCATATTGAGCCCACGAAGAGTGGTGGTTTTTCTCCCAACAGGGATTGATGGGCTTTTGATATTGCAAGACAACTGTCAACACAATCTTTCTCAAACCAACAACCACTATGGTCTTCCTTGGATGATTGAGCTTTCATAGGTCATAATATGTACCTATATCAGAAGTGAATGATTAATACAGCATCCAGCTCTCTTACCGAGAGCAGATATTGCACTTTATTTATTTATTTGGCGGTCCCAACCAGTGACTTTGTTGGGTGGACTGAATTCCTAAAGGAAACAAGCATTGCCTGTTACTTACCAGTTCTTCACGGAGCTGGAAAATGAGTTCATCTCTTTCCTTCAGCTGTAGCTTCAATGTCGAGCATTCATCTTTCATTATATCCTACAAAAACATCAAAAGAGATGTTATAATAGACTTAGTGTTTTTTTCCTTTCCTCCTGACAAGAAACGGTAGCTTCACAGTGTGAGATAATTACATCCCAGTAATGAAACTCAACGTCCCTCCATCATGTGTGATATTTTTTAATAACATTTTCTAAGTTTGCAGTGTAAACAAACTAATGCACTGGAAGTTATTATATGCACAGAAATGTGGAACAGCTCCCTGTGTGTTAAGTCCATTTCGTTAGTGTTTGATACTTTTAAGCCTTTTTATTGAAGTTTCTGTCAGGCATCTCTTTACTTCAGTGAAGGAACAGATGGCTGTAAAATTTCATATTTGTGCTCGCACAAAACTGCACTGCAAAAATTCTCTTCTGATGCATTACTAGAGGTTTAAAAAACAAAAAAGCAGTCTACAGATAGAAAAAAGTAAGCAAAAGTGGAGGCAGGCATTCAGTAAACAGAAAGGAAGCAACCCTTCCATGAAGGGAAATAACCTAGCATGACAGTCAACAATATTGCTACAAAGTCAAATGTAGTGACCTGTGAGTGTGTTTGGTGCTCTTTTAAATGGGATTCAAACAACACAGGTTATTTGTGGGTGGATTTGGCAAGAAGCATGAAATTAAACTGAGAAAAGAATAAAGCACCCTGGAAATCCAACTAAACAAGGTTCTTAACTGCAGGCTAGAGGTTAAACGACAGAGATATCCAACTAAAGGTCGAAGGACCAAGTAAATTAGCATTGCCAATTTTAACTCATTTTTTATCTTGCTTTATTCTTAGAGTACTTTAAAATCATATTCTTTCCACAGGAAACATCTTACAATAGTACTGTATATTCCAGTGTATAAGACGACTGGGCATATAAGATGACCCCCACATTTTCCAGTTAAAATATAGAGTTTGGGATATACACACCATACAGGACTACCCCTTTTCCATAGCCGGCTCTTAGGCTTAGAAATGGAGATGACCACCAACCCCCAGAGTTGGACAAAACTAAACTTAATGTCAGGGGAAAACATTTACCTTACCTAGAGTGAGCCCAGGGCCAGGTCCAATGTCCTTTCCCCAACAGCAACAACAATAATAGAAACCTAGAGTTGGATGGGACTCCAATGGCCAGCCTGACCCTAATTCTGCCAGGCAGAAACACACATCGGGATGATAGGTGGTCATCCTGCTTTGCTTAATAACAACAATAACAACCACCACAGGAATATTGTGTCCAATTCTGGGCTCCACAATTGAAGAGAGATGTTGACAAGCGGGAATGTGTTCAGAGGAGGGCGACTAAAATGATCAAGGGTCTGGAGAACAAGTCCTATGAGGAGTGGCTTATAGAGCTGGGCATGTTTAGCTTGAAGAAGAGAAGGCTGAGGGGAGACATGACGAGGGCCATGTATAAATATGTGAGAGGAAGTCATAGGGAGGAGGGAGCAAGCTTGTTCTCTGCTTCCCTGGAGACTAGGACGCAATGGAACAGTGGCTTCAAACTACAAGAAAGGAGATTCCATCTGAACATTAGGGAGAACTTCCTGACTACAGAGATACTCACAGGGATACCTCAGCAAGCAAGTCCAAAAGTGGCAGGCTAAAACCCAGAGCCTCGATCCATGACTGATACCAAATGAGAAACTCCCTCCTGGACACAAGGAAGACTGGGCGACTTGGAAGGCACTGAACAGACTGTGCTCTGGCACCACGAGATGCAAAGCCAATCTTAAGAAATGGGGCCACAAAGTGGAGACCACAACATGCAAGTGTGGAGAACAACAAACCACAGACCACCTACTACAATGCAGCCTGAGCCCTGCCACAAGCATGATGGAGGACCTTCCCACAGCAACACCAGAGGCACTCCAAGTGGCCAGCTTCTGGTCAAAGGACATGTAGTGTAATGCCAAGTTTTTAGCTCTGTTTGTGTCTTTTTAAATACATTATAACTGTACCGCTTCTGACATTATAAATATTTATTTATTTATTTATTTTATTTGGAGTGCTCCTACCCTGCCCTTCTCAACCCTCTAGGGGGGACTCAGGGCGGCTTACAAAATGAACAATTCGATGTCCAACAGTTCACTTAATACAATATACAAAATACAATAAAACGACAACAGTTATAACTAATTAAAACAATCAAATTAATACAATAGCAGCAATACAATCATCTTGTGGTCAACGTTCGCCAATTCATAAATCCATAATCCATCCAGCATTGTCATTGTCCTTTCCTACTCTGGTCATCATTGTCTTTTATCCATCTGCCAGCTTATAAATACAGTCTATTGTCCCAATCTCACCACCATGTAACGGCAGTGCCATGTTGGCCGTTATTATTATTAAAAGCCCTTTTTACCCAAGCATTAACTGGCTTGCACAGCGTGGTTATTTTAAACCTTTCCCATTACAGCCAGCTTTTTGTATCCATGGATTCAATCAGCTATAGAAGAATGTATTTATTTAATTATCTAAGAAACAAACCTAGAATTCACCATCATTTATAGGAGTTGTAGGTACTGGGATGTATAGTTCACCTGCCATCTAAGAGCACTTTGAACTCCATCACTTATGGACCTGGAACTAACTTGGCACACAGAACCCTTATGACCAACAGAAATTGGAGGTCTTTGGAGGGATTTATAGGAGTTGTAGTTCACCTACATCCAGAGCACAGTATGCACCCGAACAACAATGGATCTGGACCAAACTTGGTATACATCCCAAATATACCCAAATTTGAATGCTAGTGCATTTTGAGGGAAATTGGCCTGGTCAGTTTGGAGTTTTATATACAGGGATTAATAGTTCACTTGCAATGAGCACTCTGAACTCCACCAATGAAGGATTTGGAACTAATTTGGCACACAGAGCCCCCATGGCCAAAACAAAATAAAATACTTGAGGCCTTTGGGGAAAAGAATCACCTTGATTAGGGGGAGTTGTAGTTCACCTACATCCAGAGTGTACTGTGAATCCAAACACTGATGGATCTGACCAAACTTGGCACACATACCTGATAAGCCTGAGGAGGAAGAAGGGAGGGGGTGAGGAGGAGGAGCGGCCGGCTTCGCTACCAAGCCGGCAGCATGGTAGCCTACTGGGCTGTCTTCACCGTCGCCGGCACTGAGTTGGCTCCGTCTTTGCCATCAATCCCAGAACAGCTGCTGCAAGAGCCAAAGCCGGAGGGGTGGGGGCGGGGGTGGGAGAGGTTGCCTCTGTCTGCTCCGCCCTCGCCCCGTGGAGGGCCCCGCCTTTCCTGGTACTGCCCCCCCCACTCCAGCTTCGACTCCTGCCATGTTACCAGGTCAGCTGGGGGTGTTTGTGTGCTGTGCTGTCCCCGCTGCCACTGGTCTGCTGCTAGCTCCTCCTCTGGCTTCAAGGCCAGAGCAACCGTCGAGGGAGCCAACACCAGAGCGTGGGGTGGGGCCGCGAGGGGCAGGGTCCTCTTCTCCCACTGCCTCCCCTCTCCGGTGTTGGCTCTCTCGGCCAAGTTTTGTAGCTTTTTTGTTTTTAAAAACATTACAATTGTACCCTCAGTTCACTTCTGACACAATAAATAAAAACTACCGAAGAGGTCACAGGTCATGTGCCCAGGTCACGGCAGCTACAAGGTATGAATTATTTAAAATCAGTGTAGACAGGCTCAAAGAGAACCTTTCAGTTTAATTTCCAGAATTATCTAGAAAGGGGGAGGGGGTGTTTTATAGTTGAATTTACTGTTTGCAAACAGTGTAAATAGCTTATACTTACATTTACATTTCTTAGTATTGGGTACAACTAGCACACCACACACTGTAAGTAAACCAGAAAATCAGAACCAAGAGACCACCAACTGTATGTGTTTTTTTTCCCTCAAAAAGAAAAAGAAAACCAGATAGTCACCCAATTGTGCTTATATTCAACAGCAAATCAGAAGGTTCTTTTCAGACATCAAGCATCTAACCTTTGAATATGTGCTTAATTCATAAATTATGCTACAAGCACAGAACTGGCCAGACAATATTACAACCCTTTGCACATCTTCTTTTGACAAAGCCCCCCTAGATTGAGTGAAGTTTACCCTTGGGAAAGTAAACAGGCTTGAACTGTATGATTATAATTAGAAATAATCAGAAGGCGCAATCAACCAGAACTCACAAACAAGTAATTTTAATTATAGGAAGTACTTGTCCAACTTGGATAGAAGGAAGGAAGGAAGGAAGGAAGGAAGGAAGGAAGGAAGGAAGGAAGGAAGGAAGGAAGGAAGGAAGGTCCATATTAATCCAGATTTTAGTGAACTGGACTACTGCTAGCTTTGTTAAAACTCATTTTAAAGGAAGTTGTTGCTGTGCCCACGCTGTTATCAAAACTATATATTTTCTTGTCAATTAAACAATACCATTTCCTATTCCAGTCTTGTTTTGAATGGTTGTTCAAATATTTATTTTTCCTTTTACTTATAAAGTCATCAATTAAATATTTCAAAAGGTAAGACCACCAGGTTTCCATGTCCAATCTTGTTTTGTCTTTCCAACCTTGGGTGATTATAGCGTGGATGACAGATATCATAAATTTTAATACTTCAGTCTATTTGTTGTTCCCCTACTTTATCTCTATAGTGAGGGATATAAATTGGGTTTTATTCCAGTATAGATTTTGTCCTATTATTTACTCTATTACTACTTTGACTTTGTTATAATATTTTTGGATGTTGATGCAATCCCACCACATATGTGAAAATGTGCCAATCTCCCCAGACATATGACAACATTTATTAGATATGTTTCCAATAACGTGTGCCAATTGTAAGGGGGTTCTATACCATTTTGAGATTATTTTCTTTTGTGTTTCCTTGATCCCTAGATGTTTAATTTTTTGGATTTTGTCAACCTGAGACCTAACTAAATTCTTGTCAAATTTTGTATCTTGTCTCTAAGCTTCTACTAAGGTATATTTTGTCTTATAGGATAAGGCTGCTAGGTCCTTAGATATTTCCCCAATAATTCCTTTTTCTT